TATATATATATATATATATATATATATATATATATATATATATATATGTATATGTATTATGTATTCTTTTGTTTGTTGATTTTAAATTGTATATTTATTGTTGAAAGGTTCCAGCCATGAAAATAGCCTTGGTTGCTGACATGGCGTTAAATAAAAAAATACATTACATTACATTTTTGAGCATGTAGCTGAGCAGCTATGGTAGCATGTAGCTGAGCATAGCTGGTGCTATGGTTTGTTCATACCTTGAGGTAAAAATAATCAGAGCATTCTCTCCTCCTCTTCATTCATAAACAGCAGGATTGGCTTCTGAAGCATGCAGGAAAGACAGATTTACACTCCGTCATTGATAATCTTAGCTTTTGTAGTGGAGTTGAAGAATATATGAAGTAGAATGTTCTCTTTGTTTCAGTTGAGATATTTAATCTTTATCTTTTGCCTAATTAATCTGCCAAAATCTGTTTGATTGTTTTCAAACTGAAAGCCATGCAGCGCCAGTATATTGGTGTCTTTCCATACAGCTTTATGATTTCATCTGTACTTTAATAGCCTGCGTTGTTACCTTACCTAAAGTGTTATCAATACATGAACTAGCAGAGCGTTATTGTAAAGTGCTTCTTCAGTGACTGGTACCAATAGCATAACGTCCTGATGTGTTACTTTCATATCTAAATCTGCAGGAGTGCGAGACTAAAATTGCACAGGAAATCGCAAGCCTGTCTAAAGAGGACGTGTCTAAGGAAGAGATGACGGAGAATGAGGAAGAGGTCACTAATCTTCTTCTGGCTCAGGTGAGTCCACCTGCTTCACTGCTCACAGCTGATAAACAAATATTCTGCTCCGTGATGAGCAGCCAGTGGCTACAGTCTGCTTTGCATATCACACAGACGTTTTGTAAGTAACTGATAATAAGCAAGATGATAGCAGCATTTTGAAAAAGAAAAGCTAGAGAAAATAGTTTGTCATTAATTAAATGACTATCTGAAAGATTAATAGACTTTTTTTGTCTGACCTGACAAGTATTCTGCTGACTCAAAAGCATTAACTTCACCAGGGCAAAGTCTACAAGGGATAATACGGTGGCCAGGAAGTTCAAAACAACATTATTTACATTATTTATCAAATTTACATTTTGAAAAACATTTTTACCTATCATCAGACACAATTACATAGGAGAAACAATTTTACCAAGGACGAAACAAATTAACATTTCAGAAAAAAATGAACAAGACGCAAAGCACGTTTACAAGTCCCGAAACAAATTTACAATTGCAGATTCCTTACGGAAAGGGAATGTACCACACACCGGAAGTGACGCGGAATGTACCACACACCGGAAGTGACGTGGAATGTACCACACACCGGTAGTGACCCGCAATGTAACACACACACTGGAAAATATCAATAATAATAAGTTGACCGGGGGGTGGGGGGTGAAATTCCGGGAGTTTCCGGGAGACAGAACAATACAGGAGATGGGTCTGAAATACGGGAGACTCCCGGGAAAACGGGAGTGTTGGCAGGTATGATCATGGATGTGCAGCCGACAAATCTGCAGCAACTGCGTGAATCTATCATGTCAATATGGAGAAAAGTCTCGGAGGAATTTTTCAGCACCTTGTTGAATCTATTCCACGAAGGATTAAGGCAATGAAGGCAAAAGGGGGTCCAACCCGGTACTAATGAGGTGCAAATTGTGACTGTTGCTTTAAATTCAAATAATGATTGTGTTCCCAGAAAGAGAGGGGGGCCTACAAATGCCTATGCGTCAGATCCAAAACAGGGCTAGCAACAACCCTTCAGCAACAGTCAATTGTGTGCTCTGTGAATTGACTTATTCGCTTCTCTGTCGCCCTCTGCAGGAGAATGAGATCCTAACAGAGCAGGAGGAGCTGATTTCCCTGGAGCAGGTGCTGCGGAGACAGATCGCCACTGAGAAGGAGGAAATCGAGCGACTGCGCGCAGAGATCGCTGATATACAGAGGTCAGAGCTCATACATGGGTCAAAATAGCAAATTTGGTGCTATTGGACCCTTTTCTCAAGAGTGTTATGACGTGTTTAATGGTCATCAGCATCCTAAATCTTTAAAAGTTTTTAATATTTTGAAATTAAAAAATGTGTGAACATATACATGTATTTGTGTATGTATGATATCATCTTTGCATCAAATTAAAAGTATTGGAATTACTGCTTGTGCGAGGCATTTGTAATGCAAATTGAATGGGGCCAGGACAGTAAATGTTGTTCTCTCTTCTGGCTTCTGTTATCAGTCTCTCGCTATTTTTTTCCTTTTTCTGAAAGTGCTGATGAGAGCATTGTGGAGTTTTTCCTTTTATTACTTCAGCAAATAGGATTATAAAACAATGATTTGTTGTACTCTCTCATTCAGTTCGCTATAAGTTTGCCGAACTATGAGGACTTCCACTATTGAGAAACGCAGAAAAGGGTCCATTAGGATTTCTGTGGGCAGTTTTTCGTTTTTGGTCAACTTTTGTTTTGTTTCAGCCGTCAGCAGGGCCGCAGTGAAACAGAAGAGTATTCATCAGACAGCGAGAGCGAGAGTGAAGATGAAGAAGAGCTGCAGATGATTCTGGAAGACCTGCAGAAACAGAACGAAGAGCTGGAGGTGAGAAAGAGGAGGGTCACATGACCGTTTAAAGATTTAAAGTACACATGACATTGATTGTTTGCTGAGCTCTGCAATCTTTAGTTATCGCTGCAGGTTTTTTTTTTTCAATTTTCCTGTTTATTGAAATGACTCGCATCATAAATACGTCATTAATTTAAATACATCCCTGCAGAAAATGACATGTTTGAAATCTGCCAACATATTACTGTTTTAGAATTAAAGGGATACATCATAATATTTTTGATGTATAAAATAAATACATGCGTGTGTATACATGTATGTGTGTGTGTGTGTGTGTGTGTGTGTGTGTGTGTGTGTGTGTGTGTGTGTGTGTGTGTGTGTGTGTGTGTGTGTGTGTGTGTGTGTGTGTGTGTGTGTGTGTGTGTGTGTGTGTGTGTGTGTGTGTGTGTGAGCGCGTTTGCGCGTGTGTGTGTGTGTGTAAATGTGTATATGTGTATATACCAAGTGCGCCGCAAGCCTGCGTTTGAGTGAAGGTCTCGGCCGTTAGATCGCCCCCTGGGGGCTGGCTGCAGTACAAGTCATAAAGCCCGCCTCCTCCATGTTAATGAAGGAGACTTGAGCCCAAATAAAAAAAATTATTACACTTGCAATAAAATGTCCCGAAAGATGGATCTGGTCGATTAAGGCACTGGTTATTGTGCTGAAATAGGTGCAGATCCTCATTTTTGTAAACAGTTTGTTTTTAGCAGTAATTTAATGCTGGGCGTGTCATCGTGATTGACAGCTGTGATTGACAGTTTCTCAAAGCAGCGCGTCTGAGCTTCGGCAGGAGACTGAAATGTTATTATTCGATTTCTGTGTTATTTTACCATGATAAGATGAGTTCAGCAGTAAACTATAGTTTCTGACATACATGATCCTGGTGGAACACTGTTTATTCGCTAAGGTCAGGGCTTTTTTCAGGCTTTATTAGTTTGCTGATACACGCCTAACCACCCAGATAGCAAAATACACTCAGGCCAGTTCCGGCTAGATTCTCGCCTGGCGTTTTGCCCTCAAGGCGTTCAATGGGAAAAGGGGCTGTATATATATATATATATATATATATATATATATATATATAGATGCAAATCTCCCGTTTCACCACATCCCAAATGAGCTCAATTGGATTGATATCTGGTGACTGTGGAGGCCATTTTAGTATTTGATTCACGCTTTATGACATGACGCATTATCTTGCTGGAAGTAGCCATCAGAAGATGAATGCACTGTGGTCATGAAGAGTGGACATGGTCAGCAACAATACTCAGGTAGGCTGTGGTGTTGACACGATGCTCAATTGGTATTAACGGGCCCAAATTGTGCCAAAAAAATATCCCCCACACCATTACACCATTGAAGCCAAATTCTGGCCAAACCATAAGAATGTATCAGCAAAAATCGAGACTCATCACACCAGGCAACGTATTTCCAATTTTCTATTGTGCAATTTTGATGAGCCTGTGTAAATTGTAGCCTCAGTTTCCTGTTCTTAGCTGATAGGAGGGACACCCGGTGTGGTCTTCTGCTGTTGTCGCCCATCCGCTTGAAGGTTGGATGTGTTGTTTGTTCAGAGATGCTCTTCTGCAGACCTTGGGTGTAACGAGTGCTTATTTGAGTTACTGTTGCCTTTCTATCAGCTGGAACCAGTCTGGCCATTCTCCTCTGACCTCTGGCATCAACGAGACATTTGCACACACAGAACTGCCGCTCACTAGATATTTTCTCTTTCAGATCATTCTCTGTAAACTCTAGAGATGGTTGTGCGTGAAAATCCCAGTAGATCAGCAGTTTCTGAAATACTCAGACTAGCCCGTCTGGCACCAACAACCATGTCACGTTCAAAGTAACTTAAATCCCCTTTCTTCCCCATTCTGATGCTCGGTTTGAACTGCAGCAGATTGTCTTGACCATGTCTACATGCCTAAATGCATTGAGCTGCGGCCATGTGATTGGATACTTAGAAATTTGCGTTAACGAGCAGTTGGATAGGTGTACCTAATAAAGTGGCCAGTGATTATATAACCGTTATAATCTCCAGCAGCCTGTTACGTCAGTCACATTCTACATATTTTCTTGTTTAAAAAACATTACATCAAAATAGGGAAGAAAAATTCATCACAACTTTTGCTAAATGCTGTGATTATTGCGGAAAATTTAAGCAAACGCAGATATAGGCTGTGTACTCATGCAGAATTCCATTATTGTGTTTTTCTTTCCAGAATAAAAACACTCATCTGAATCAGGCCATCCACGAGGAGCAGGAGGCTATTTTGGAACTGCGCGTTCAGCTCCGCCTCCTTCAGAGTCACAAGCTCCACCAGGAGCTCACGGCTCCACCCACAGCAGAACAAGCCCCGCCCTCCCAACCCAGCCCAGAGGAACGGTCTCGAGTGGACGAGCCCATCAAACGCGCCCCAGCAGCAGTCGTCATGGAAACCACTGCCGTCGCAGCCACAGCCGCTCCATCCAATGGGAAGCCTGGAAAAGATGCCATGAAGCCGTCGCCCAGCAAAGACAAGAGGGAAGCCAACATGTAAACCATTAACCAGATCACTTCTGCTCATGTTTGCGCTTCACAAAAACTGCAGGGTTCAAGGTGAGACACTCATTACACTGGGAGAAACTGCGGGAAATCTAGGTCAATAAATCTGAAACATTTCTGATTGGTTGTTATCACAGTGGACTGAAATTGGATCTTTTTGGTCGTGTTTGATTAGTGTGTGAAGTTGCAGCAGCACAATCGGATATTTAAGTGTATTAAGGACAGATCGATCTGCCCTTTGACCTCGGTTAAAACACTTTTTATTAGTAAGTTAAGAGTATTAGGGGTTTTTTGTTTCAAAATCTCACGATTGCTAGTGAATCTCAGTGGTACAGGTCACATTTTACTCCAAAATCCAGTTTTTTGCATGAGGAAATTGAAGCCTATTGTTTTGAACATCACATATTATGACAATTAATCATTTTTTTCTGTAGTTGTCATTACCTTAATGGAAATAGATTTCCTGTTCATTGGTGAAATGTGAAGAAATATTATTTGAATTCCATTATTATTGAAATTTCCCAGAGATGGGTTGCGGCTGGAAGGGCATCCGCTGCGTAAAAACTTGCTGGATAAGTTGGCGATTCATTCCGCTGTGGCAACCCCGGATTAATAAAGAGACTAAGCCGACAAGAAAATTAATGAAAATTATTGAAATGAAATAGGCTATGCATTATTTAGATTTAAAGTATCACTATATCATAGAATTTAAATGTAAGAAATAACTTGATTATAATAATTCATTTTTAAATTATTCTAACATTTTGACAAAATCTCCATCCACAAAAATTGTACCAAAAATAGGCTTACATTTTTATATAACGCGAAAAAAAAGAATCAATTCTGGATTAATATGTGACCTGAAGACCGGTTTTCTCAACATTTCAAGATTGAGCAAATGCAGATGTTATTATGCAACAAATGTGCTGGGAAAAGGTTAACCGCGATGAATCACGTCCAAAATAAAAGTTTGTTTTGGCATAATATGTGTGTATTGTATATATTTATTATGTATATGTGATACACACACATACATAGAAACAAACTATACAAAACAATTTTGTTACATAGATATTTAAACATAAATAATCTGTATATGCATAAATATTTTATACAAATGAATGCAAATATATGCATACATGTGTGTATTTATATAAATAAATATACATTACACACACACATATATTATGTCAATACATACTTTTATTTTGGATGCGATTCATTTTTTCCCAGCACTAATATATATATATATATATATATATATATATATATATATATATATATATATATATAATCTGAAATATTCACATGACATTCAGCACAAAAACTGCAATCATTTCAGAAAGTTGGGTTTGTATTCTCATTTACTATATTAACAAATGCTTTACTTTTTATTTGTGTCATTTATTCCTAATCAAATCCCCAAACAGTACGTTTGTCAAAAGGGGTATTGCCAATGCTGAATATTCTCACCGTTCTCCTGATGTAGGTTGAAGTGTAGAAGCAAGATCAAACCAGGATCAGTCTTACAAAAAAAAATGAAGTTGTGTGTTTTCTGGAACCACTGTGCCATAGGTGACTGTGTGCAGACGCACGGAAGAATTACTTTGAAGATGCTCTGGGACATTGTGATACAGCTAGATTGTATTTTTAACCTGTTAAGGGATTCAAAGGAGTCGGTTGTGAGGCGTTTCTTATAAATGTCAATATTTAATATTCAATATATAGATATATATTATACATCTAAACTGTAACTGCACTAAACTGTGCAGAAATGCACTTACAGAACGAGATGGTTGGTTGGTTGTGGAATTTGGTAACATTTTTGTTCGTTTCCAGATGTTCATGTAATGTTTTTTTAAAGACTTTTTGTAAAGCACAATAATTTTTTGTGATGAAGTTTGGTAGCTGATAAGTGTAGGTGATGTGCAAACGGGGTGAATTTCGTCAAATCAAAAGAAAACAGTTCTGTATGAAAAAAATGAATGAGTTTATTAGTTTGATTTTCTTTGTGCAATGTTTCTTTTGATTTAAGGGTCACAGCCCTATGGAGCCAGAACAGTCGCAAAATTAAAACATTACAAAATAAAAATCACACATCCCCAATACAATTCTTATTTACAAAATGAATTGTAAGTTTAAATCATTATTCATAAATACACAAATCAAATTCGTAAATTCAAAACCTGAAACGCAAATACACAAATCCAATTCGTAGATTTAAAACACGCTTCAAAAATGCACAAATCAAATTTGTAAATTTAAAACACTATTCCAAAATACACAAAACCAATTTGTTAATTCAACAATATTCGAAAAATCACAAATCCAATTCGTAGCTTCAAAACACAATTCATTAATACACAATATTAATTCTTAAATTCAAAACACGATTAAAAAATTGCACAAATCAAATTTGTAAATTTAAAACACGATTCACAAATACACAAATCCATTACGTAAATTCAAGACGATTCAAAAATACACAAGTACAATTTGTAAATTCAAAAACGATTCAAAACTGCACAAATTCAATTCATAACTTCAAAACTCAATTCAAAAATGGACAAATCCAATTCGTAACTTCAAAACACGATTAAAAAATGCACACATCCAATTCGTAAATTCAAAACCCGAAACATAAATACACAAATCCAATTCGGTACTTCAAAACACAATTCATAAATACACAAATTCAATTTGTAAATTCAAAACAAGATTCAAAATGCACAAATCCAATTCCTAAAGTCAAAACACGATTCAAAAACGCACAAATCCAATTCGTAAATTCAAAACCCGAAGCGTAAATGCACAAATCCAATTCGGTACTTCAAAACACAATTCAAAAATACACTTATTCAATTCGTAAATTCAAAACACAATTCAAAAATGGACAAATACATTAAGCAAATTCAAGTCGATTCAAAAATACACAAGTCCAATTTGTAAATTCAAAATATGATTCACAAATCCAGTTCCTAAATTTAAAACACGATTCAAAAATGCACAAAATCAATTCGTAAATTCAAAACCCGACACGTAAATTTAAGAATCCAATACGTAAGTTCAAAACAGGATTCAAAATTGTACAAATTAAATTTGTAAATTCTAAACATGTTTAAAAAATACACAAATCCAATTCGTAAATTCAAAACACGATTCATAAATACACAAATCCAATTGGTAAATTCATTTGGTTAAATTATTTAGGATTTTTACTTGTAAATTCACGCATTGTGTGTTGTATTTATGAGTTGTGTTTAGATTTTATAAATTGTGAATGTGAATTGTGCTGCTCATGTATACATTTTATTTTGTAAATGCATTATGTTTGAGACTGATCTGGCTCCATAAGTTCCAGCCGAAGTCTTGAAGATTTGGCACAGTTGTTACAGAGGTTCTGACACACTGATTGATGATTTTTATTCATAGAAATTTTGGAAACTTGCACTAGATTGTTACCAATTCTTTCTCTTTTTTTTAATTTTCAATATTCTACCAGTGTCTTTTTTTTTGCTTTTTTTTTTCTTGCTTGTTGAATACTAGTGTACTAGCTAGTGGATCATTTCGTTTTGTTGTTTTCTTTCAGATATAACACATTTCCACCCTTGTTTTTTCTCTTCTTTATTTTTCCAAGTGTGATGCATTTCAGAAATACTGTAATGATTCTAATCAAAGCTATTGGCAGACTGATTGTCAATTATATCATTGTAAAAAAAAAAAATCTCTCTTTTTTATGTTTCTCTGCTTGTATCAAAGAGATGCATACCTGCTCATCTACTTTCGGAAATGATAGTTTTTTTTCATATTGTAGACAAAGCTTTTGTAGCTCATGATGATCATTGTGAACAGGATGCTGTCGTCTAAATAAAACGGAAGGTTGGAGAGTCATTTAAGTTTTCAGATAATTTTTTTTCACCGAGATGCGGGATATCAGCCTGTGATGCTGGAGGATTACTTCTTTCATCATCATTCTGGACAGAAAGAGGTATGTACATTAATGGTTTTCTCTGTCTACACTGGTTCTAAATGCCGGTTCTGTTTGTTTTGCAGTTTGATTTACCACACAGAGAATACCAAAATCCAGAGATTACAATCTGATACTAAAGCTTGTTGTCTTTTTAGGATTTTTCTGGCAATACCAGAAATGTTGAATTGGTAGCTCTTGATGTGAGTATTTCCTCTATGATGAACTACTTGATGTGTCTATATAAAAGCATCTAAATGTAGATCTAAAGTTTTTCGTTGCTGCAGCAGCTTTTAGTTGTGTACAGTGACATAATTATTATGTGTAATTCATTCAATTGTATTTATATTTACACTACCTATATACACTAATATATACAGTCGCTAGAGAGGCAGTAAGGGTCCTTTGAATTTGTGACGCACTGGTGGCTTTAGACCAATGACTGTAAAAGCTTTAGACAGACACACTGAGTCCAAGGTGTTATAAGGAAAACTTTATGTAAACTTGTGGCATGACAAACAATACAGCAATTTGTGGGTCGAATACCTGTATTGTATGGAGCCGATTTTTGCGTTGTAGTGATGGTTGTTGCGTGTGTTGTTGCGTTGCGATGCCGTTTTTGCGATGCCGTTTTGCGGTCAACAAAAAATACGACTACCCCACTCTCCTTCTCTCCTCCTCACCTGTTTGATTTTGCACGTGCTTTATATGTTCTAGCAGGTGCCAGTTATGACCACGTGACCAAAACATAAAATGTCACTGTGAAACCCAAACTAATCAGTATACAAATAAACATTATAATCAAATGAAAAGTAATATAGCTCCTCTTCTACCTGACAAAAGTCTTGTCGCCTATCCAAGTTTTAGGAACAGCAAATAGTAACTTGACTTCTAGTTGATCATTTGGTATCAAAGGTGGCTTTTGTTTGCCCTCTCCTGTGGTTTGTAATGTAATGGGCAGCACAAATGTCTTGATACCTCAGGCTGTTGATGTTGCTGTGCACTCTGCAGATCTCTCTCAGGCCCCCATACTGAATGCAACCCCAAACCATGATTTTTCCCTTTCACTTGACTGATTTCTGTGAGTATCTTGGGTCCATGCAGATTCCAGTAGATCCTCTGCAGTATTAGTGATGATTGGGATGCAGCTCAACAGATGATTTATCTGAGAAATCTATCTCCTGCTACTTTTTCAAATCATCAACTAGAAATCAAGTTATTATTTGTTGCTCTTACAACTGGGATTGATGACAAGACTTGGTCAGGTACTGTATAAGTTATTCGAGTATATATGCTATATATATATATATATATATATATATATATATGTGTGTGTGTGTGTGTGTGTGTAT